AAAAAAAAAAAAAGAGAATAATATTTTAGAGTCGTTGCTTCTTGTTCTTCAATCTTGAATCATTTGCTTCAGATTCCTTCTGCAATATTTCAAATGTTAACACATGAACCATTTTGGAAGCTCTTATTTTCTTCAATGGCTATGGACATTAGTCATTACCATTATTTTCTTCTTCGGTATATGTGATATTGTGATTCTTGGGTTCAACTTATTTTCATTGGTTTGCTCGCGCTATGGGATATTAAGAAAGGAGAGGATGAAGGAATGTGTTTGTAACAGATTTTGTAGCAGTGAGGTATGAGGAATGTGTGTCCCTTTTATATCCTTCACGGCAACACTCTTGGAGTTTACAATTTTATAGATATTTGGAAAAGATTTAACCTGTATATTGAATTTTTACCGTATGAGTGAAATTTGACCAGTCCTAAGAATTTTTTACGTTTTTTCTTTTTTTGGCTAGAAGTTACTAACCATTCCTATTAGGTTAATTTCTTACAGGGTGTCCTTAAAAGTTTCATGCAGAGGCAGATAGAGTATTAGTTCATTTGCACTTCTCATATTTGACACAAATTTAGTATAAAAATTTAAACCTATAAACTCAAAGGTATAATCAATTGTAAATATATTACAAGTAACTTTTTTAATACATCAACTTTAAATCCTAAATTCATCTATTATTTTATTAAATCATTTTTTTTACATAAAAGAAGCCCCATGATGATTCAATTTTTCTTTTTCTTTTTTTAGAAAAAAAAGCATACATCGATCTTTTTCTCTTTCGCTGTCCCATGTGTAACACTAGTATTATACCTCAATGTCTCTTGAATTTGACTCATTTTATTAGGTGCACAGTTACAAGTTACAGGAGCAAAATAGTGTTGCTCATAGTCTAGCTCATATGGAGGTAAGCAAGCAATTATCAATAGTTGCATCTCTTTTGCCACACCACCACCTTTTATCGCAACTTTCTATCAACAAGACCTAGCGGGACCAATGCACACGAGGCTTGTTACGAGTAACTTTTTTAATACATCAACTTTAAATCCTAAATTCATCTTTAATGCATCTATTATTTTATTAAATCTTTCTTTTTTACATAAAATGAAGTCCCCATGATGATTCAATTTTTTTTTTTTTAGAAAAAAAAAAGCATACATCGATCTTTTTCTCTTCCGATGTCCCATGTGTAATACTAGTATTATACCTCAATGTCTCTTGAATTTGACTCATTTTATTAGGTGCACAGTTACAGAGAGCAAAATAGTGTTGCTAATAGACTAGCTTAATATGGAGCCATGCAAGCAGTTATCAATAGTTGCATCTCTTTTGCCACACCACAACCTTTTGTCGCAACTTTCCACCAATAAGACCTAGCGGGAACAATGCACAGGAGGCTTGTTAACAAGAACAACCAACTTAACCCTACTTTGTCTCCCGTTTGTAATACTAATGTTTTGTGTAGTAATGCACCCCATGTAGGGGCACTTGTAGTAGCTTATAATAGTTCTAGTGTAACGGGCCGACCTTATTCCGGACGTAAGCGGCACCAAATTGCCTGTGCGGTGCCTGTAGTCACCCCACACTACAGGCAAGTCTTTACTTTTCCCAGGTTTTCTAGCACGATCATGTGCCTGTGGTGGAGCTTTCTTAAGAGTCTTACTCCAACTGTGTGGCCCGTATGATGTCTAGGCTCATAGCGACTAGCTGTGGCGCTTCTCATCTGCTGGATCTTATCCCTGCGCACACTCGGGGTTGCCTAAGGACATATATGTCCCTCGCCTAGCATTGAGCATCGCTCTCGCGTGCACAGTCTAATCCTCAAGCTTGACACTCGCCTCGTGCATCCGCACCTAGGTTGTGCTTCGCCAGAGTAGGGCAACCTTTTAGTCATTGGCCTTTGTCATGTGCGTCTTTCGTAGAATGCCTATCTTTGTCTTATGGAATCTCCAAACATAGCCCTCGCAACATACTTCCATCCCGCATAGTGCAGTGTCGCCCCACAACTGCGCGCCTAGGTCAACAGACCCTTGCTCACCTAGCTAAACCCAAGCTAAGCTCACAAGTCGACATATGAGGCCCCTAAGAAAGGTGCTTCAAGTATCCAATTGGCACGGAGGTCTTTATCCATCATTTCAATAGCCCGTAGGGCATAACCGTCCCATATGTCAAGCCTCCAGTGCCCGTTTGGTGCCCAACCCTAGCCCTAAGGCGTCGTGCCGTCCATAGAGTTCCCAAACTCGTATGGATACCTTAGACACTCCTTTGAGATGTCCAGGCAGGCCCTTGAGGTTCTCCCCCAAGGTAGCTCACTTGGTACGGCTTGATGGCAGCACGCACTGGGGAGAATGGCTGAGCTTCAACACCTATACCCCCGTTATATATGCTTAAAATTAAAAAGCCCATGATTCAACAATAGTCAAGTTCTGGTCAGAGAATCAGAATGGCCCTTCTTCGCGCATATATAAGAGCATACTAGGAACAAGGCCTACGACCGAGAACCCTAGATTCCTGCTAAGTTCTCTTGGCACACTTAGGACATGCAACACAACTTATCTTGATGGTTGTTGTCTCATGCATATCCCCTCTGCCTGATGTTCCTTCACAAGGCTTTGTCAGCGCACGCCGCCTATGTGACTGACATTTGTCCTGGTGCACTGTAGCGTGCAGTACTCATGGATGACATGACCCCCAAAATATGGGGTGTGACATCCTCCCACACTCAATTTATAATCGTCCCCGATGACACAATAATGCCTACGACAACCCGGAGTCTGCCCCCTCAGGGATGTGCACCGACTCCTTTAATCCTTATGGGTCAGACTTCCTTAAAGTCCATCTCAAAATGGAGTCGTGCCCCTTGCACTTCTCCCCCAAGTATCTTCCAATCGTGCCTCTGCACTTAGCCTCCTACCGGTGTTCACTCGGAAAGTGCCTCCGCACTTGCACCCTCTGGTGTCTAACTTTGTGGCAACACACACTAGTCAACCATACCATGACCCTCATGGTCTTCATACGTCCGAAGCTCTTCCCTCAGTGGTAAGCATATCAGCGTGCTCAGACGTAGCTCACGCAGCTCAGTAACTCGCGTAGCCCTTTTCTCGCCCTCATTGCCTTGGAAAGATTAGCTCACTTCAGGACTCACAATTCTATACCAGCACCTCTGCATAGGCGGATCCTCCCACACTCAATGTGGAGGATACTTCTTAATGTACCTATCCCCTATTGGCATATCAGCTCGCTCTTTGGGACGTACCCTTGGTGAGTATTGCATTCTCAAAGTTATAACCTCGCCGCATTCAAGAACAAAGCTCTTTGTTTTCCAACTATCACTTCCTCAGCAAGTACCCAATGCTCCCGGTAGTAACTCTCCTGGTTCTGCTAGCACGACTCTCCGATTCGATGTGCCTCGCACATGGCCCCATCTTAATGGTCCCCGATCATTCGATGTACCCCTTTCCAGAATGACACCTTCTAACTTGGAATCCCGCTCAATTCTGGAGCTTTGTATTTCCTTCGAATTCGTCTCCTCACCTTGGCAATTCAGCACTACGCCTCCCCATCAAATGGTTCGGCTCTTTTTCACAATCTTGGTGGCTGACTCTACCCCATTGTGACACACATGCACTCCCGCTAAGAAGCCTGACATAGGTCCTTCTTTGTGGTTGTTAAGGGACTCTCCTGCCATTCATCGCAACCCTTGAGATGGCTAGGTACATCTCAATTCCCTTATGTAGTCCACAAGTCTATCCCATAGGAAAGACACTCAACTGATGCGCTGCTCGCATCCTCGGCAAGATCTCTGCACGATCATGCCCTTTGTTTATAGTCCATGGCTCTCACTCTTTGTAATATGGCTGCACGACCTGGCAAACATGGCCTTTTTTCTGACCACCCGACTCATCGGCATATCATCACACTCAACTGAAGCACAAACTTACGAAAGAAATTGGGGTTGTCTATTTCCTTCGTCAAAATGGCCAACAACTCCAACTTGCTTCTTAACATGAACAAAAACACATCAACCTGACGACTCCCAACGCTACTGAACCCTCTTGGTTCAAACGGTATTCAACCCGTGCAAGGAACATTCTAAGTCTGTTCGACATTCCTTACCATGTCTTGCTTAGCAAAGCTGCTACCCATCTATTAACAGAGTTTTTGACATACTGCCGGACCACCATAATCAAGAACAATTGAGCTTTTGCTAACCGTCTGTCCCTTCTTGTGGAACTATCCCAACAACATCGCACAATGGCTCTCTTTGCAAACCAAATGTGCTTATATAGTATCCCTCTGAAAACAGCACCCACTGCACGGAAGACATCCCTTACGATATCTCAATCAAACTAGGATGCCCTAAAATTACCTCCCAAGACATAGACGATGGCGGAAACAACGACTGTGAAATGGTCTGATTCTGAAGGTCGTAATTCATGGCTGACAATGCATATCCTAGCCAATACTCACGCAACCAATCCCTATTCCGACCAGTAGTATCGGGTTCTCGATCTCTGGTGGCATATGAACATCAATCTCTGCTTCGATATGATCTCCACACTGACATCCAAAATGCACTCGCCATCTCAACTTCTGCTTAGATATCATTTGTCATGGCAGAAGATGGCCTAACATTGCTCTAATACCACGTGTCACGGGCCAACCTTATTCTGGACGTAAGCAGCACTAAATTGCCCGTGCGGCGCCTGTAGTCACCCCGCACTACAGGAAAGCCTTTTTTTTTTCCAGGTTTTCTAGCACGATCATGTGCCTGTGGTGGAGCTTGCTTAAGAGGCTTACTCCAACTGTGCCGCCCGTATGATGTCT